AGAGAGAGAGAGAGAGAGAGAGAGAGAGAGAGAGAGAGAGAGAGAGAGAGGAGAGAGAGAGAGAGAGAGAGAGAGAGAGAGAGAGAGAGAGAGAGAGAGAGAGAGAGAGAGAGAGAGAGAGAGAGAGAGAGAGAGAGAGAGAGAGAGAGAGAGAGAGAGAGAGAGAGAGAGAGAGAGAGAGAGAGAGAGAGAGAGAGAGCCTGAAGGTACCCGCTAGGTGCGCTTACGGTTTACTGGTGCCCCACTGTTGCCTGGCAACGACAGTCGTCGTCGCGCAGCTTCCACGTGCGGGCGTCGGTCGCGCCCCGCCAGTACAGCCGGTTCCGACATGGGAGCTCGCTGCGGCTTCCGTCCTCCGCCCCCGCCCCCTGCGGCGCCCCACGCCTCGGAATGGAGTCACCGCTGATGTCACGGTGCCAGTCTGCCCCTGCGCAGCGAAACCCGCGCACCGCCGTGGGCTGTCTAAACATGGGCGTGTTCCGAGGGCATGCTGCCGTGGTTTGTCCGCCGGCCGCCGCCGGAGAAGGCCACGGTTTTCTCACAATCACATACGTCCTGGACGCGGATGTTTGACAGCTGCTTGGGGCCTGACGTGACGGCGTTTCCGGCTCAGCCGTCGCTGCCATCACTTCCTGGAGGATCCGAGACAGTGTCTCTCCAAAATTAACCCGGGCGAGTTTGCGCAGCTCGACGTCCGACGGGGTCGCCCCTCCCCGGAGATCGAACGGAACGCAATTGCGCCGCGCCCTCCGGGTCAGACGGCCCGCGTAAGCTGCCGCGGCCAGGTCGGGCGATAACCAGCACCCGACGACCCGAGCGTTTCCTCTCTGACCCCACTGGTGCTGAGGCGTACTGCGTAGTACGGCTGGAGACGCGACGGCGACCCATCTTCGCGGCGGCGAGCTAGCTGGCACGCGTGGCTATTCAGTGGCGGCCTTGTAAGGTCAGCTGGCGCATGTGGCTGCTCAGCGGCGGCCTTGTGAGCTCAGTTAGCACGTGTGGCTGCTCAGCGGCGGCCTGGTAAGGTCAGCTCGCACGCATGACTGCTCAACGGCGGCCTTGTGAGCTCAGCTGGCACGCTTGGCTACTCAGCGGCGGCCTTGTGAGTTCAGTTAGCACGCGTGGCTGCTCAGCGGCGGCCTTGTGAGCTCAGTTAGCACGCGTGGCTGCTCAGCGGCGGCCTGGTAAGGTCAGCTCGCACGCGTGGCTATTCAGTGGCGGCCTTGTAAGGTCAGCTGGCGCATGTGGCTGCTCAGCGGCGGCCTTGTGAGCTCAGTTAGCACGTGTGGCTGCTCAGCGGCGGCCTGGTAAGGTCAGCTCGCACGCGTGACTGCTCGGCGGCGGCCTTGTGAGCTCAGCTGGCACGCTTGGCTACTCAGCGGCGGTCCCAGGTCAGCTGGCGCGTGTGGTTGCTCGACGGCGCCCTTGTGAACCGCGACTCGATAGCTAAATACCGCAGCTCGATAGGTGCTCTACGTCAGCCTAATCACGATCGAGGACCGCGCGGTCCGTCAGGACGCCGCTTCATCCAGCGGCCTGTAGCGTAGAAGGCCCGGCCAAAATACACAAGCGGATTAAGATAATATAACGAATTGGCCGATATCAGCCCAAGTGTAAGGACCAACTACGCTCCCTGTGATGTTTTGAAATGCTGGAGTCGTCTGTGTCATACATGGGTGCAATAGATCGGAACAAACGAGATGTTTGCCAGGCCGTCCTTCTTGTGAGCCCCAATCAGCGTCAGTTCCGTCATAAGTGTGACGACAAACGGAGCTGGAGCGGGGGGCGTGAAGTCTACACCAAAGCCGCTGATATCGTCATAAATTTTGACTCCTCTCCGTGGCGAGTTCACAGGCTCAGTCACATCACATGTTTTATGGATGATAACTTCATAATCCTGGCTTAAAATAGTCATTAACTTCAGCCACTGAAGGCTTCTTTGAGCGGCCGACGAGGCAGCGAGCCCCGAAGGCATGACTAGAGAAGGCATGCATGCGACCTCAGGGCGCCTTACCTGATCATGCAGAACGCACCAGCGTCGACAGCCTCGCCAGATGTCCCCCGTTCCGGTACCCACGGGCGGCGCCACGCGGTCGGGGACGTCAGGCCAAGTCAAATGAAAGACCAATTAAAATAGCCGCGTGTGGCAGCTGCTATCGCTGGCGCCACTCACAGTATGTTTTGAGGAGGACGCTGCGCCGGAGCGGAGCGCTGATGTTGTTGTTGCTGGCGTGGCAGCTGAGCGCCTGGTCCACGTCTGCCCGCGAGATGGCCGGCAGGGTCAGCGAGCTTTGCAGGCCGCCGCTAGATGTCACCAGGTGCGCATTGCTCACCAGTGTGGGGCCTCGCCACCACGACAGCGTTGGCGCTGGGCGACCTGCGAACGCGAACCAAGGATTCGTCAACAAACGGGTTGTAGGTAAAGCTTCGATTTGGACATCATGTCGAAGCAGCCCGGAAACGGCGTGACCACAGGTGGCCATTAAGCAGTCGGGAGACGGCATGATCACGGGTGGCCATTAAACAGTCGGGAGACGGCATGATCACGGGTGGCCATTAAGCAGTCGGGAGACGGTATGATCACGGGTGGCCATTAAGCAGTCGGGAGACGGTATGATCACGGGTGGCCAATGAGGATATCTCCGACGTTGTTACGTTTCCCGGCATTGAGATCCCCTGCACGTCCATGCCACTGATAAAATTCGAGCATTCTTTAGAGTAACATAGACCGATGGGGGCGCGCTCTGAAGACATTTACCACGAAATTTTCAAAGATAGCTGGTGTTTGTTATGTTCACCGCATCATTGGCCACATCAGTCCCCGAGATAATCTTCTAACACATTCATTTTTGGCGAGTTCGAATCTGACGGCAGTGATGCCATTGCCACTGGCAGTGGTCGTTCATAAAAATACCTTACCAATATTCTCCATAGAAAAAACACGAAAGACCCCAGTCACTGAAGAGCGTCCCTGGGCTGCGATTGCGCGCGGTTGCATATAGTTCCTGCCTCTGCAGCATTTTAACACGTCGCGAAAATTGCAAACTGAAAACCAGGACGAGCTAATTAAGCCACCTTACCTCCGTGCGTTTCGCAGAGCAGTTGAACCCTGTCGCCCTCTGTGAGCGGCCCCAGAATGTCTCCCACGCGGTCGCCAGAGGGCAGGCGTATCACTGGGCGGGCAGGCGGCACTGAAACGCAACAGCACACAAACACGGTGACATCAGCTCGGCTCATACACTGACGCAAATCCAGGGATGTGTTTGTACTTAACCTCATTATCGCTTTTTGACGCAGCTAGCGGTGTCGCGCTTTCGAATGCGGTTTTGGAACTACAGTGTAGCAGTGGCGGCGAAACCTTCACGCCCTACGCGGCGCTTGAAGCAAAAGTTCCTCATGCGAGATCGTCGCGCTGCCGTCCGCGCACTTGTTCAACATTTTCATATGGTCATGACTGATCCTTAATCACGAACAGAATGTGCAGCGATATTAAAAGGTTGGTTATAACGCACAGAGGTGAAGATAAACCGTAGTCGCGCCTGAACTAAAACTGTTTATGTTGATATTGATATACTTAGGCCACTCATTGGCACATTGTGATAAAACAAAGAGAGGGCAGAAAAGAGGTACGGTGCACACTTCTTAATAAGGCAAAACGGGCATTAACATTGCAGTTGTGATGCAAGGAAAGGGTTGCATTTGAAATACGTTTTAACACCTCTGCTTTCAGTGTCAGCTCTACCGTAACTTGAGATGTGAATAAGTTCCCCGAAATAGACTGCTTGCATGCCAAAAAAAATCGAGGTTATCTCGCAGATTCCCCAAGCACTTCCAGCCCACCCACACGCAGAGAAGTCATGACACGTGCAAGGCGGCGAACAATTTTGGGACTGCCCCGGGCGCGTGCGGCCTGACGGACCTGACGCCACCCCTTTCGAGGCGGAGCAGGCGCCTCGGGTCGGCTCGCTGTCCGCTCGTCCCATCATCCGGCTCATGTGCCCAGCTAATGAGGTACCAGTAAGCTCCGAGGGACGAGCCGGGCCCAATTACGCGCGCCGGCCAGCGCGGCGGCGGCGCGCCGCTAAGAGTGCTCCATTATTGGGACCGGCCGGCTGGAAAATGGGACGGGCGCCGCCACGCTTTTGCCGGCTCACAAGTTGTGAAACCGACCGGTCACCGGGCGGTACCGCCCGCGGCACTTGCCACGCTCGCCTCCATGGGCAGACAATGTGGACAGCGCGTGGGGGGGGGGGGGGGGGGGCGGCAGCCTCCAAGCTTCGCGGTGACTCCAAGCACAATTATTGGCTCTCCAGGTAGCCTACAAAGTGCGTGATTTTCAGGCATAGCGATGAGGCTTTCTGCTCCTTGACATTTGGCAAGCCTACCCCTGCCTAGCAGGCCAAACTTGAAAAGCCACCTTTAACCCGCATGACAATTTTCGCCGAAAATGCTTCGACGCGCAAGCGTAAAGTTTTCTCCTTAAATGCCAACCAGTGAGTAACGGATCAGTGTTCCTACAATTACAATAATGTGGTATCTAGAGGGAGAATCCAGGACATACTCACTAGCAGACGTTTACGTAGGTTACGAAAAACCGGCATATATTGCATGAGGGAAACATTTTTTGACCTCGCACAGAAAAACACTTCAATGTCCAATATAATATATACACACACACACACACACACACACACACACACACATATATATATATATATATATATATATATATATATATATATATATATATATATATTCTGACACATAACATCGGTACCTGCCTGCGCGCATAAGGAGCCAGCCAGTACTGTCCTTTAAAATGGATAAGGGCTGCGGTCTGAGACAAGAGCCTGTGTGATCCGAAAGCCTAAGTTCGCCGCTTTGCTCGGCGCATTCCATTTTTAATTCGCAACTGAGACTGTAATACAAAAACAGTATTGCTCTCCTATTTTGGGGAATTGCCACTATAGCGGACGAGCCGTGACGAGGTTTAAATCGTGGCACTGTTCTCAAATTACTGTACAGCCGATGCCAGCAGTCAAACATGACTTGGCTGTCGATAACTACCAACAAACAAAGAAGCAAAACTGTGTCGAGGAAAAGGGAAGGTGAAAAGTTTGCAAGATGGTGACAAAGAATTATTCATAATGAAGACGCATGACAGTCCGAGGTAAATAAAAAATCAAAATTGGATGCAGGCACCCAGAGCGAGAACAGAGCATATGAAATATACATTAACAATCGAAACAATGTGAACTGGTTGAAGATTTTCAGGCCCATTTCAAGATGCGGCCTAATGAAGTGGAAAATACACACTTCATTTCGAAACCGAGTTGGCTAAGTTTTACCTATTTTTGGCTTGCTAATGAACACCATAGCGACGGTGGTCGTGGTCACTCGGCCGCTAGTGTGGGCTTGAGCCTGAGTCTTCACCTTAGCATGTTTAATTTCAGTGCATAACATGCTTTAGTCACTGACGTCAGCTGTGACATGGTGTGTTGTCCCACCCGTTCCTTTGCCTGATGTCCCTGACTATTCTCCGCGTGAGTGAGGCCTCCCGTTTGCAGTGAAAGGCACCAGTTTTTGTTGAGAACATATCGGTCGAAGCAGTGAAAGCGTGCTGGAGATTACTCGCCTGTTGATTTGCTGTGATAATATGATACATATTGTTGGCCACTAAAAGCATTTCTATGTGATTTCTGCATTGCCAGGATAGACTTCATACAACCTATTTCTTGCTTCGCACGATTGGCCAATTTGGTACGCAGTTCCAAAAGTTACCCGCTGCCTACACTGCGCGGTTTGCTTACTTTGACCGTGCTTAGCAGTTCCTGCGGGCCCGACAGTGACAGCTCTTACGGTAATGAATTCAATGTCGCTTAATGAGCGCCAGGACCCTTTCCCGTAACGTAAGACGCACCAGCCGTTGTAGCGCGTCATCGCTGATAACACGAGGACACCCATGAATCATGCATTTTGTACGCGATCGTATGCATGGATCACTGTGTTTGATGTTTATATAATTCTGTTGCTCGGCACGATTGCCAAGGGCGTGGCTTGCTGAACATGTTAGGAAGACTGCAGCCATTGGAGGGGTCGAGTCCTGTGACGAGTGACCAAATATTGCAGAAGCAACAGGAGAAAGTCGTGCGTGGTCGCTCACGACAACGGGATATTTGACGCTAAGACATTTTGTTTGATTTTCATCTTTTGTCCTGCGTAGCTTTTTAGATGCTTAAGAAAACGTTGGATACGGAAGTAGTAAAATGCGTCATAGAAGTGATCTTGTCGTCATTGGTAACCGTATTGCACAAGAATACTAAGGTAATGGCTTTTAATCAAGGCCAGTCCTGGACCTTTGCAGCTATTCTCTTCAACATTTAACGGCACGGACCACCTAAAGTGATCATGAAGCACGCTATATGTAACAGCCAAAGCCGTTGAATGGATGTAGTGGGCCGCTTCCGGTCTAGTGAGCTGTAAGTTAAAATAATTACATCAGCTGGGGAAACGGTCGGCACGAGGAGCTCCTGAGGGATATGAGCGAACAATTACCTGTGTACAAGCGTGAGAGAACCGGTGTGCAATTCGGTTTAAAGTGATTCGACTTCTCAATTACCTTATGGTGTAACGTAGGCTTCGGCTCCCCTTCCATGAGCCTAACGCAGTAGAACTCCAAAAGAGCTTACAATGCTTCTCTCAGGAGAACGGCGTCCGGGTGGCCCTTGGAGCGGTGCGTGCACTCACCGATGACGGTGAGGTTGACCCTGCTGTACTTGGTGGGACTGGAGAGGAAGTCGACGCGACACCGGTACACACCGGCGTCCGACTCCCGGACGTCGTCGATGGCCAGCACCGGCGGCGCCGTGTCCACTAGGAACTCGGCGTTCCTGTTGTCCAGGATGAAGCTGTCCTTCCACTGGACGCCCCGGCTCAGCGAGTCCTGACGCGCGTCCAGACTGGGGAACGAAAAGGGTGCTGAAATACAGCCGTGGTGGGCTCACAAGGGTGCTGAAGTGCGGCGGTGGTGCGCTTACGTGTCCATCATGTTTATCTAATCTGCTTCTTTAAAAAGTTTGATAGAATTGTCTTCAGTGGTGGTTTTTGGATACGGCCCTCTGCTGAGCATAGCTTGTAGCCGAGACACTCCGCCACCCCGAGAGCAGCTCTACTGCAACATGCATTTTTGTCCGAAATATATTTAAATGTTAGGCATTGTCACAGCCAGCCCAGCCCAAACCAGTTCAGCAATGTAACGGTCAGCTGCCAGTAGGCC